GCCAGCTTGTGTTGATGGCGTCTAGCGAGTGGTCTCTGGTTCTGGGCCCGGCCCCAGAGATGGAGGGCTGGGCTCTCCGTACCCAGACCTCAAGCTGCCCTGCTGAGCGGATGCTTCCCTTCCCCGGCCCTTCCCTAACCCGCTGCCTCTGTCTCCCCGCTCCCCAGCATCCACTCGAGCATGCTGAAGGACGAGGCCGAGCCCCCTGCGGTCAGCCTGGGCCGCTTGGACTTTGATGTGTCTGACTTCTTCCTCTTCGGCTCACCCCTGGGCCTGGTCCTGGCCATGCGGAGGACGGTGCTGCCCGCGCTGGACGGTGGGTGAGGCACAGCCTGGGGCTGAGCTGCCTTTGTGTCAGTCACTAGCCCACTGTGTTAGGGCCTCAAATTGGGGAGAGTGGGGTTTCAGGGGCAGGGGGAGGGTGGGTCGCAGAGTTGGGGTAGGTGGACAGAGAAGAGAAGGAGGAGGGGCGGGGGAGAGGAGGAAGAAAGCGGGGGTCGTTTCGCAGATGGAGCAAAGGTGAGGCAGCCTCTGGTGGATCTCACTGTCCTTGTCACATGCCCCTGGCTGACCTGCGGGCCTGTTGTTCAGTTGTCATGCTCTGTGGGAAGAGAAATCATCACTAGTTGCCCTGTTGCCCCACCCTCTCCTTCCCCAGTGCCCAGGCAGGCCCACTGCAGCCAGGCCCGCCTCGGTGCCTTGCTCACGCAGTGCCCACAGCCTTGAATGCCGTCCTCATGCCTCTGAAATACACACCCAGGTGGTTTTCACGGGCAGGTGGCTAAGCCATGATTCTGAGGATGCAAGAGGCTGGAGGCACCTTGCAGATGCACACACCAGTGCTTCTCAAACTTCTTTTGTCCCAGAGCTCACTGACGACCTACAGTACGGAACAGAGAAACAGGGCGGGGCTCTGCATGACGTGGGGAGAGAGAGGAGGCGGGGCCCCACGGCTGTCCTGATGTCACTAAGGAACCCTAAGACTCCCTGGACAGTGGTCAGTCTAGTCCCCTGACATAGAGGGACAGGGAGACGCACAGAGGAGAAGGAGGCCTCAGTGGAGACACCTGCTGGTCTGGGAGAGAAGTGTATTGCCGGCTCTGGCAAACCAAGAACTACACCAGGCTAGGAGTTGGGTGGGGGCTGCAGGAAGGGGCAGCTGCCCCTGAGGAAAAGAGCCTGGGTCGGCTGCATAGGTCAGGTAGCCACTAAGTGAGAGTGGAGAGCTGGAAGGGGGAAATGGGCCTGCTGGGAGGAGGGCAGCTTGAGCCAAGGCCCAGGGAAAGCTAGCCTGCTGGGGGGTTTCACATGGCCACCGTGGTGCCGTCTGGGTGCCTACAGCAGCGCTCCCAAGTGGGACCGATGGGCAAGGCCTTGAATGCCAAACTGAACGAACGTGTGGCTTTGATGCTGGTGGCGGCAGGGAGCCATGCATTTCTTGAGCAGAGGAGCAGGCTACGCAACGCTGCACTCAGGGAAGCCTTGTAGGGCCAAGTGAGCGGGGACCAGCAAGGGGCTCCCCTGTGTTGCTCCCAGGACTCCAGGTGCGTCCGGCCTGCAGCCAGGTCTACAGCTTCTTCCACTGCGCAGACCCTTCCGCCTCCCGGCTTGAGCCGCTGCTGGAGCCCAAGTTCCACCTGGTGCCGCCCGTCAGCGTGCCCCGCTACCAAAGGTTCCCGCTGGGCGATGGACAGTCCCTCCTCCTCGGTAGGCTCCTGGTTGGGGGGGAGGGGGAGAGCATGTGCTGAGCCAGAGGCCGGGCCCCAGCCAGGCGTACTCCAGGGTCCCCGCCTCTGGTCCAGCCTCTCCAAGCTGTCAGCTGATGGTGTGACTAGGACTAGACCCATCTGAGCAGGGGCTGTGTGTTCTGGGGGCACAGGACAGGCAAACGGCCGACTCACTTGCTTTCCAAGCAGCCCACCTGTGCGAGCACCTGCTCTGCAGGAGCAGCTTGGGTTTCAGAGACCCGACCTCTGTTCCCTGACAAGCTTGCTGGCTAAGCTCCTGGGTCCGGGGCCAGCATGATACTCGTGCTGTCAGCTCATTGGCAGTCCCGGGTCCAGCTGAGTGCTGTTGTCCAGTGCCCAGCCTGCACTCGGAGGTGCAGGGCGGGAGGTATCTCATCCCAGCAGGCCTCACGGATAGGGGGCTTTTGTCCAAGGCTCTTGGATGGCTGGAGAAGAGCTGCGGGGGGCGGGTGTTCGGGGATCTTCTAGGTCGAGCAGAAGCAAGGGCAGGTGGGTTTGGGGGAGGCCAGTGAGGCCAAGGGGAGGCCTGTACTGGACAGTCAGGGGCTTGGAGATGCGAGCTTTGGCTCCACCCCCCTGAGCCTGTTCAGAGGTGTGGCCAGATTGTGGGGGGAGAGCTGTGTCTGTGGCTCACTCAGGATGTAAACCCGCCCCCCCACCACCTGCCGTTTCGATGAAAACTCAATTTCCAAAGTCCTGCTTTGTCAGGAGCTTCCACCGACAGAAGAGGCTATGAAACCTCCCTCCCCGACCCTACAATGTGTCCCTCTTCGGTCAGGGCATGCCCCCGCCCCCAGAGCGCCCCCCAGCTCCAGGCTGCGGTGCCCATGCACTTCTGGGCTCAGCCACAGGCCCTTGCAGCTCAGGGGGGAGGTCTGATACAAGAGCACATGGTTTGGGTCACCCTTGACCTTAGCTGGGGTTTGAGGGTCCTCTCCCAGGGGCGCCCTCGGCAGCTCTGTTAGGGGAGGAGTGACGGTTGGGACCCTGACTTGTGCCCACAGCTTAGAGGACATGAAACCCGACGATGTATTATGGGGAAGGCGTCCCAGCCAGGTTCCGGGGGGTGAGAGGTGCAGGTTGCCCGTTTTGGGTGAGAGAGCAGGGCCGGGGGTGGTCATCTCTAAGTGCCTGCCTCCCACCCGCGTGGGGCCGGCACAGCTTGGTGGCTCTGTTTGAGACGAAGTTCTCCCTCCAGCGGATGCCCTGCATACCCACAGCGCCCTCTTCCTGGAGGGCAGCTCCCAGGGAAGCCCGCCGATGGTGGACGCCCCCGCCTCACCCCTTCAGGCCCCGCAGTCCCAGCGCCCGGGGCGGAGGATGAGCCAGGGCAGCTCCCACAGTGAGAGCTCCGAGTCCTCAGACAGCCTGGCACCCGTCGGCGCCTCCTGCAGTGAGTGAGGGTCATCTGGGGGTCTCCCTGGGTTCAAGGGAGAGGAACCTACCTCTGGGCCGCTGCTGGTCCACCGCCAGAGCTGCTGAGGGCGGAGAAGAGGGGTAGCTGAAATCACACTGAACTCTGACCTCAGAGAGAACTTTGACCCTGACTGTGGCATGAGCCATGACTCCTCCTGGCACAAACTGAGCTCTGACCTCGGCCAGAGCCCTGATGCCAACATTCAGTTTCCCCACTGGGAATCCTGCTGACCGGCAGCCCGGGGGTGGGACCATGGACGCCTCTGTGGGTCCTCATTCCTGGGGACCACCCTGCGGCATGTGTCTTAGAGGAGGGGTGGGTGGGAGGTGGGGGGAAATCCATGTCCCAGAGCTCATTGTGAGCTGGTGCCGGCCTCACACTTGCACCCCGAGTGGGACGTCCATCACTGCGCCTGTGCACGGGTCCCACACTACCCCATGGGTCCAGGCCCAGGCAGTCTGTTCTGTCCTCACCTCCCTCTCGGCCCCACAGTCACGGCCAAGTGGTGGGGTGCCAAGCGCATCGACTACGCCCTGTACTGCCCCGAGGTCCTCACTGCCTTCCCCACTGTGGCGCTGCCCCACCTCTTCCACGCCAGCTACTGGGAGTCCACGGATGTGGTGGCCTTCATCCTGAGACAGGTACTCCGCCCTCAGGGC